AAAAAAAAAAAAAAAAAAAGTTCTATCTGAAGCAAAACCAAGTAGCAAACAATAGCTTTTCCTTGTGGTTTTTCCATTCAGTTACTAACTTGTTTATAGAGTTGTGTTATATCAGAGATGCTTGTTCTGTTCATGGTCATATAGTATAAGTAGTATATACTACTGTTTTAATAAAGCTTATAATTTTCTAAATTTTATATATGGCATGTAGTTTTTTTCGTTTCGTTTTGTCTTGTTTGAGACGGAGTCTTACTCTGTCACCCAGGCTGGAGAGCAGTGGTGTGATCTTGGCTCATTGCAACCTCCACCTCCTCTCGCCTCAGCTTCCCAAGGAGCTAGGATTACAGGTACACGCCACCATGCCCAGATAATTTTTTTTCTGTATTTTTAGTAGAGATGGGTTTCTCCATGTTGGCCAGGCTAGTCCCAAGACTCCTGATCTCAGGTGATCCGCCACCTCGGCCTCCCAAAGTGCTAGGATTATAGGCCTGAGCCACCATGCCCGGCCACATGTAGTTTTTTGAATTAACGTTTTCATACATATGAACAAAAAGATTGCATTCTAAATGTATTTGAATATCTGTCTTTTCTAAAAAAGTTACTAAAATTATTTAAAAATACTAATTACATAAATGTTATACTTTGTTTTTATAGAACTTTTCACCTGTAATTTCTTTTCTTTTAAAGATCAGTGGATAAGTCGGTTATAGTATATGATACTGTAAGTATTTAAAAATCTTGTGGTGATCTATGAAAGTTATGTTTATTAGACTACTGAACTTCAAATTAGGCATCATAGAAAAAGTGTTTGTTTTTTCTGTTTAGTATGACTAAGAACATATACATTTTCACAAATGCTGAAATAGTTATGCAAGTAAGATACTGGTTCTGCAACAAGCCCTTAAATATTCAGTAATGATTTTAAGATGGATAGATTTTAAATGTTATAAAAAATACATATTTAAAGAGCCCAGTATTCAAAACATCACATACAATCAATTATTAAATTTTACACCAGGCTTTCATAATAGGAAAGGATGAATGTTTATCCTAGGGCTTTTGGCAAATATGGTTGAAAGTGACCTACCATTCTTAGACTTCTGGCTGTATTTAGAGAGTAGCATAAGAAAGAATAGGTTATCATGGACTTGGAAAATCGGAGTTTGTTTGTTTGTTGAGATGGAGTTTTGCTCTGTTGCTAGGCTGGAGTGCAGTAGTGCAATCTCGGCTCACTGCAACCTCTGCCTCCTGGATTCAGGCAGTTCTCAGCCTCCCAAGTAGCTGGGATTACAGTCACGTGCCACCACATCCAGCTAATTTTTGTATTTTTAGTAGAAATGGGGTTTCACCATGTTGGCCAGGCTGGTCTCGAACTCCTGACCTCATGATACCCCAGCCTCGGCTTCCCAAATTGTTGAGGTTACAGGCATGAGCTACTGCACGCAGCTAAGATAATGGGAGTTTTTGACTGATCATGTGTGGGTAAAGACGAAGTTGTGGCTGAGTGCAGTGGCTCACACCTGCACTCAGAGGCTGAGGCAGGCAGATGGCTTGAGTCCAGGAGTTCAAGACCAGCCTGGCCAATATGGTGAAACCCCGTCTCTACCAAAAATACAAAAACTTAGCCGACCTTGGTGGTGAGTCCCTGTAGTCCCAGCTACTTGGGAGGCTGAGGTGGGAGGACGGCTTGAATATTGGAGGTGGAGGTTGCAGTGAGCTGAGATCGCACCACTGTACTCCAGTCTGGGCAAGAGTGAGACCCTGTATCAAAAATAAATAAAGTAGTTGAAAAAAAAATATTGTCCAAGAGAAATCAGTGTTGAGTGGAGCGTCCTTATGATTGAATTTAGGCTGTGGCTATGCCAGCAAATAAATGGAGATAAAAGTAATCAAAGGGTAGCAAGTTAAGCACGTGGTATAAGCTAGTCCTCCACATAGAAATTCAAGTCACTGAGTACTCTGGCAGGAAATGGGAAAGAATACTCAAGCTAGGTGAGGTAGATCTTTAATATTTCTCATGAACTTTTCATGAGATTTTACATTCTCAAAAAAACCCACTAAATTTTCTCTGTAAAATATGTATGTGAGCTCCACTTAAATACACATATAATATTGGATGGCCACCTTAGTGTACTGAAAGTCTAAGGGATTAATTTCTTTCTTTCTTTTTTTATTTTTGAGACAGACTCTTGCTCTGTTGCCCAGGCAAGAGTGCAGTGGCGCGATCTCAGCTTACTGCAACCTCCAACTCCAGGGCGCAAGCAATTCTCCTGCCTCAACCTCCTAAGTAGCTGGGATATCAGGCACATGCCACCACACCCAGCTAATATTTTGTATTTTTTGTAGAGATGGGGTTTCACCATTTGCCCAAGCTAATCTCAGACTCCTGGGCTCATGCAGTCCACCCGCCTCGGCTTCCTGATGTGCTGGGATTACAGGTGTGAGCCACCGGGTTCGGCCACGGGACTGATTTCTACCCATTGGTCCTGCAATGTGTACATATCAAATGTCATAGCAAAAAATACAAATTATTTCATGTAATAGATGTTTAGGTTACTATTAGTAGGTTCAAACAGATGAGCAAATGCTAAGGGTCTACTGTACTAAAAATTTCTAAGGAGGTGGCTAGCAGACAATAATGCCAATAATTGAGAAAAAGTGAAATAAATACCTGAGAATGCTATTAGTTACAGATGCCATTTCTACTATTCATTGAGTAAAGTTTCAACTTATGTTAGTTACTAATAAATATTAACATGTCTACTTAATAAACAATTTATGTCAAATGTGAGTCTTTATCAGTAACTTTACTCTTACCTGAATAAATGTAAAGCTGTTTTTGTTGTTTTTCAGAATACTGAGAATATACTTCACACATTGACTCAGCACACCAGGTCTGAACTTAACCTTACTTTGTATTAATGTAATTTAAAAATTAGTCAGAAGATACATAATGGCTGTTTTTTATTAACTAGGTATGTCACAGCTTGTGCTTTTGCACCTCATACCCTTTTACTTGCTACTGGTTCAATGGACAAAACAGTGAACATCTGGCAATTTGACCTGGAAACACTTTGCCAAGGTTAGTAAGGACATCATTTTTAACTCATTTCAACCCCACTCACCATTTAAGTCAGAAAGTAAGTAAATCGGGCCAGGCATCATGGCTCATGCCTGTAATCCCTGCATTTTGGGAGGCCAAGGTGGGCGGATCACTTGAGGTCAGGAGTTTGAGACCAGCCTGGCCAACATGATGAAACCCGTCTCTACTAAAAATACAAAAAAGTAGCTGAACATTATGGCACATGATTGTAATCCCAGCTACTCAGGAGGCTGAGGCAGGAGAATTGCTTGAACCTGGGAGGTGGAGGTTGC